AAGAAGCCTGTCGACGAGGGTGGTTCCAGGACCCCGGTGCAGAGAAAATCGCCATTACCCACCAAGGGGCACGTCCTGGAACGCTTCTCGGCGATGCCATTTTCGTTATGTAAATTTTATATATATATATATAATCGCTGAAGTAATTAACGAAGTGGCGGAATAACTACAAAGAGAGGACGGGCTCTTTGCGGCCCCCACCCCCTCGGATTGGTTTGGAGGCGATGTTGGCGATTCCAAACTCCCGATGCCTAGCCTGGTCTACGCGGATGATTCGTGGTTCGTCTTGCTCGCCGAGCCTGAGCGCTGCCAGCAAGCGTTGCCCACCTTCTGCCGCGTTTTTTTGAATGCCTTTGCTCCTGTTGGCCTGGCCCCGCGCCTTAAAGTCGGCAAAGCTGAATTGCCCATTGACGCGCGTTGCCCCGGGGCCCCAGCTTTTCGTGAACATTCGGTTTCTCCAGCGGGGCCCGTGATTGAAGTCCCTGGTTTGGTTTGCGGAGGCAATGCTATTTCTCTAGGCCTCCTAGATGGGGTCCGAGTAGATGGGGTCAGAGGATCGCGCCGCATCGCCGATGCATCGCCGATGCAGCTCGATGTGGAGCCCAATTTCCTCCACGTCGACGTCGCCGATGCATCGCCCACATCGACGCCTCATCGCCGGTGCATCGCCGATGCATCGCCGATGCATCGCCGATGTATCGGCTATGCGGCGCGGTCCTCCGACCCCATCTACTCCGACCCCATCTAGGAGCCCTCTAATTTCGGTTGTCCGTGCCACGGTGCACCCGGGGTCCGTCTTGGACGATAAGGGGGCGCGTGGGCCAGAAGTCACATGCAGAAATAGGGGTGCCAGCGGCGAAACCTTTGCGCCGTGCGATCGCCAAGGCACCTCGGCGGGGCATGGGCCCCGAGCTTCTCTTCCTCCACAGCGGGTCGGTCAACGCCGCCATGTTCGGGAGCCTTGAGACGGGGGTCAATACAGACGGGGGTCAGCCAGGGCGCCAGATCCTGCAGGATCCTGCGAAGACCCCCTGTGGCTGACCCGGGTTAGGGAGCCGCTCGTGGCCGCGAGGCGGCCGCGCGTATTGGCTGACCTGGGTCTGCGAAGACCTGCGGTGCAGTTTTTTTTCCTGCATTGCAGTTTTTGGTTTCCTGCTGACCCGGGTCTGGATTGACCCGGGTCAGAAGATCCCCGACATGTACGCATCAGGTATTTGGCACTCACTCCTTAAATCAGAGGCGGCCCGATTCCAATCGAAGTGTGCTCGACGATACTGATCTATATTGCAAGTGCCCAGGTTCGAGAAAGGTGGCCCGACGGATAAAGAGGTGCTGGCGGCGGCTGGTCGACCCTTGGCTTCCCCCTTCTCCGCGTCTCGCGGCTTCGGCTTTTTGGCCAAGTGTTTCATGCTGGCCCTGACACCTTCAAACCAGCGGTGCAAGAAGAGTCTCGCGTCTCCAAGAGCAGTTGGCCCCATGCTATTTTATATGATCTAGAGTGCCTGCGTTCAGCCCATTTTGAATTTGCGGACTTTCCCCTGTCCAGCCTCGGACCAAATCAATGGTTGGCGGAGTTGCGAAGACCCCAGTCCGCATGGAAAAGAACCCTCAAGGAGGCACTGCAAGCGTCGGTTGCCCGTTTGAAACGTGATGTGCAAGGCGCGAGCGCGGGAGATTCGAGCCCGTAACCTGCTATCTGAGCATGGCCTACCGGACAGGAAGGACTTGCCTCCGCCTCGGCCGGTTGAGGGCTAGCTTGCACTCATTTCTGTGCGAATTCGTTTGGTACCGCGCGCTCTCTCGACGCGCATTTTCGTAGGGCACCAGCGTCTACTGCATGATGCGCGTCGTGCCTCAAGTTTTGCTCGTCCCGCAGCTTCTGGCTGCGACGCGTTGCCTCCTGGCGGCCTGCCTGCCTAGCGCATTATCTTCGACGCATTGATCCCATGCCTTTAGATGAGCGGGCGAAGTTAGACGCAATTGAAAAAGCTGAGAACGCTGAGCGTGCTCGGCAGGGCAGATCCCACTCCTACGCTGCTTTCCCGGCTTTCACCCTCTCTGGCCCCCTGCCAGAGAGTGCTTTCGCAGCTCATTGAAATACTCCTCCCTCTGAAGCGTCTGCATACGTCAATGATACAGCGCAGGCCAGTACTGGGTGGAGTAGGCAGGTCTTCTGGTCGTTGGTCGGTGATGAGAGCGGCGAGGGATTTGATCCCGCCCCCTGAGATACTGAATGGCCATATGACCCTACAGCTTACTGTGGGCCTCTTGCTGACCCCGTGCCGCGTAGGCTTTTGAAACGACATGTGTTCATTGCCAAATTGTGGCCAGTGGCGCGTAGGTGACGTGCAGCATGCCGTTGACATTTCGTTAGAAGCACACACGCTTCTTCCTTTGTTCTTGTGGTCTTGTCTATAGATATTGTATTGGACAAAGGCAAGGGAGATCTTACACGCTCGGTGTCTGTCCAGCACTAGGCTGAGCAGATCAAGGCAGGCCGCATCATTGGGCTAGGAGGGGGGCCCCGTGCGAGACCTTTTCGGTTACTTGGTGGCGTGATGGGGGTCCCGCAGCGCTAAGGACGCGGCATGCACCGCGGGGAATCACGGGCATAAAGCCGTCTCTGAGAGCGCAGGCTGCTGTCTCCAATGATCTATTTCGAGCTCACGTAGAACTGTGAGCTACAATCGCTGTCACTAAGGGTGCGGGGTGGCACGAGTACCCCGCGCCTCCGTGTTGGGAGCCCAGATGCGTTCCCAGTTGGCACTTTCAGGCCAGCAAAGGTTTAATGGCGGCCCGTTCGGCCTCGTTCACGTGGTTCGATCAATGTGAGTTTGGACAGGTGGGGAGAGCTCCGACTGGGCTTCTTAGGGGTGAGGCTCCCATCATTGCAGGCTCGGGTCCGCGACGCGCCTGGCGGAGGGCATTGCTCGCGCGGTCGCAGGGTGCACCCCCCCCCCCATGGCCGGTTGGGATACCGGGCTCAAGAGGTGTAAGAGCGCCCCCAAGAAAGTTTATCCTCCCCAGCTTTGTTCTGTCATCGCCCTCTCTATGCTTGACCCCCTGCTTCCCCCCTCCTCGGTCAGTCCGCCATTTTGTCGCCCTCCGAGGGCGGCGAGCAGGAGTGCAAGGAGTTGTTTGCATGTTTCCCAGTCTTCTGCCAATGCGGATCCGATGGGGCCTGACTTCGCCCTTCAGACCGCCCGGGCTTCCCAGCCATCTGCTCTCCTGCGCATTTCCCGCCTATTGCGCCCTGACTCTGCTCCCCCTCCTGATGAGCTGGATGAGCTCGAAGGCACTCATTCGATAGCAGTTGGTGTTTCGCAGACTGCTAGAGATTTCTCTGGCGGCTCACCTTGTGCAGACGAGCCACCGTCCCCTCCACCTCCCACCCCGCTGGCCCTTGAGACCCTTCAGCGAATTGCGGCGAATCGAGCGGCGGCACTCGCGAGGCGTCGCGAGCGTGCCGAGCGAGATCGTGCTGCTAAGCGCATCCCTGTTAGTCTCAATGGCCTGTTCTCCGACGCCCGCCCTGTGACTGGGGCTGCGGAACGGGTGGGTATCCAAACGGATCTCCATCGTTGGTTCCGTGCGGCAGCCAGCTCTACTTAGTCGGTCGGGTGGTGGGAAGGCTTGGAGGGTTATGGGGAGAAGGGGAGTGTCTTGTGGTCTGTCATGTAGTCCTTGGGTGTTGCATGAGAGGAGGAGTTCCTCGTCTGAGGATGCCTCCTCCTCATCCGCATTGCTGCTCCTGCCCCCCATTCCTATGCGCCCTCCCTAGTCTGCCGTTGGCTGGCCTTGCTACGAGCGCAGCTGCTAGTGGATTGGGGTCGATAGTAGTGATGGTAGGTAGTTTCGGTGGGGGTGGGTTACGTCTCTCCGTGTCAGTTGTGCGAGGTGTGAGGAGCTTCGATAGGAGAATGGCCAGCCCTCCTGTCCTCTCCTCTCTGCCGCCCTGCCCGCGACCCCCCGCGCCCGCTGGCTGGGCTTCCACGTCCTCGCGTTCGGCGAGTTGACGAGCACGGACGCCCTTGTCAGCTCCCTGGAAGTGGTGGGGTAGGCTGGTGGGGTGGGCTTCGTTGTTCTGAGAGCGCTCTGGACGCCTCCGTTCGTCGTTTCATCTCCAGACTTCGGGGTTCTCGTCCCTGGGGTCAGTTGAGCCAGCTTAGCGGGCGTCCTGGGCTGCCGAGTTCTTTAGCCTGGCACCCCCCCGGCTGAGGGGGCGTTGACCCCACTTCCGAGGAAAGCCGTACCGTACCGTACCCTCCTCCTCCTCATCCTCCTCCTCCTCCTCCTCCTCCTCCTCCTCCTCCTCCTCCTCCTCCTCCTCCTCCCCCTCCTCTTCCTCCTCCTCCTCCTTCTCCTCCTCATCTTCCTCGAGCACCAGAGGGTGCGCCAGGGTGCGGAGAGGCTCTTGACGGGAGAGGGTCCTTCACCAACCCCGAGACCAACCCGAGGGCCCCAAGGTTCCCTCAATTCCCAAGAGGGGGGGCATCGGGGAACATTGGAGAGAAAAACAAAAATTAAAAAAAAAAAAAAAACATGTGGAACACGCCCCCCCCCAAACACGAAACTTGGGTCCTCGGGTTGGTTGGGGTGGTCTGTTAGGTAGTCAGTCGAGTATGGAGCGGTCTGGTAGGATGTCTAGGCCTCTCGGATGGGGTCGGAGTAGATGCCGTCGGAGGAGCAAGCCGCATCGCCGATTCATCGCCGATGCGGCTCGATGTGGAGCCCGTGTTTCCCCACACCGACGTCGCCGATGCATCACTGATGCATCGGCGATGCGGTGCAATCCTCCGACCCCATCTACCCTGACCCCATCAAGGGGGCCTCTATGATGGGAGGGGGTCCTGGAGGCTTTTCGCTGTCGTTGAGCTCCCCGGGGCCCTTCCTGGGCCCCGGGGCCGTCAACGACTGCTCGGATGAAGAGCTGTTCCTGGGGAGCGTCCCGGGGCCGAAGACCCGTTGCTGCCAGGACCCTCGTCCCTCATGCCACACAG